TTCCACAGGAGCTCACTCACATGGGAAACAATGTCTTTGTGGGACCCAGCATTTACAAGGGAAAAGTGACTGTGCACATCCGAGAGTATGCCAAATATGGTAAAGCTTACTATCCGACAAGACGAGGAGTGAATTTTGAGCCATGGTGTTTGAATGTTCTCGCAACCAACATGACAGTAGAGGAACCAGACCTGCTGACACTGAATCTGGAGTTGCCCAAGAACTTTGTAGTCACATATAAAGATTCCCACTTCACTCTGAAACAACTTTTTCTGCTCAAGGAGATGAAAAAAGTAGCCTCAGCATTACAACGACGCAGTGGGAAGAACTGATGTCCAACTTTAGCCGTATCAGCGATATTGTCACCAACCTCGTTTATCAAAACATGAACTTTTGTGAAGCCTACGAAAGCGTATCCGACGAACCTGTCAGAGAGGAAAATCTACCCCAATCCTTTGACATTTCTATGGGAAGAGCGCGACTTCAAACCATTCTAAAGACGTCACTTGAAGAACTTCTTAATCAACAAGACGAACTGAAATATCCCCAGCTGAAAGACTGTGAAGAACTCGTTCATAAAACAGAAACTGTGAATGCCATTGCTCTGAGATTCAATGCTGTTGACATCGCCAGGCAATTTTATGGAAACATTTGGGGTGAAGAACCCTATTTAATGTTACTGAAACCTGCTCACTACATTACCAAGGACTTTTTAAAATCTGTGTGTTTAAACCATGTACTCGATGAAGTAAGAAACACATTTTGTACTACGAATGGTGTCTTAGGTATTGAATACTATGAATATCTGTAAATTAATTATGATGTTCAATAAAAAAATGTTATTTTTATTTTACAATGGCCTCATGACTGTCTCCAGGTTCAGACCCTTATTTAAAAGAATTAATCTGTAATGATTACTCACATAAATTATTTTCAAAATACCTGTTGACTTTTATAGAGTATAAATAGTGTTGTTATTCTTAAACATGTATCATTCATTATTCAGCCTTTGAGATGTTAAGTAACATTCATTTTTCTCTCTTGTTTTTAGACCTATTTCTAGAATCTTAATATACGTGAAACTAGGGTATTTTTTTCTGTTCTAGTTAAACATATATAAATGAATATCAGTGTACGCTTAGATCATAACAACTGTGGCAATGAACGCAACTCTGGCTCAGACTTCTTGGGATCCTCAGGTCTCCGCAAGTTTCGGGGCTGTTATTGCTTCACATCATGCTTTAAAAGGTCGCGTAAAAACAAAAGACATAGAAAAATGGTTGCAAACCAAGGATTCTCATACTTTGCACAAACCTTTGAGGCACACAGTTTCCCAGGAACAGAGTCATCGTAGGAGCTTAAACGAGCAATTTCAGTCTGATTTAGTGGATATGCAATCCCTGGCCTCTTTTAATGACGGATACAAATATTTGCTGACCTGTATAGATATCCTTTCCAAATACGCTTGGGCTATCCCTCTCAAAGATAAAACATCTACGTCCTATCCAAAATGCTTTCGAAGAAAAGATATTTTCGGAACGTACACCCGAATCATTAAAAACAGATGCAGGGAAAGAGTTTACCATTAAAACACGTTTAAAATTTTTTGAAAAAAGAAAGGAGAAAATGTTCAACTATTTTCACAAGGAAACATAATGAAACAACCAAAAAGTTTTCTGTCGTAGAAACGATTTATCGATCAGTGACAGCTCCATGCGCTTTTTTCCAGACAACAAAATATCACAATTTACCACTCAGCTTCCTACTCCGATTGATTTAAATAGTCAGTGGGAGTTATCTCTTGTGGACTTTATTTACCCTCACACATGGTATAACGTCCGAAAAGACAATAATTTATTTGGATTTGATTTGGGTGATGGAAAATTGGAAGGTCGAAGAGTGCCTCCAGGATGTTATGAAACGATACCAGATTTATTAAAAGCCATGAAAATACCTTCCCATAAAAATAAGATTGAATTCAGTTATCATCCTGTCACGAAAAAAGTGACCATTAAGACAGACGAAAACTGCAAAGTCATTCTTCACGAAGGATTAGCTGAGCTTCTAGGGTTCGAGCCGGGTGTTTACAAAGGATTGGAAGCAAAGTCCTTTTGTAGCCGATCCCAAAGTATCTTTTCCTGTCATGTATGTGTATTGCGATCTCGTAGAGCCTCAAATTGTGGGAGATGTACAAGCTCCGTTGTTAAAAATTGTCACCGTAGAAGGAAATGACGGAGACATCATAAACGCTCATTACCCCCGGCCCTTTTACTTGCCAGTTATCCGTCAACATTTTCAGACTATACATATTGACATAAGACTTCACTCTGGAGATTTAGTACCATTCGAAAGAGGCAAAGTATTTCTTGTGTTGCATTTTCGTCTGAGACAAATTCTATAAAAGAAGCCTTCATTTGCAAATTGATTTCATTTGGATTGTGTATGCAAGATTAGAAGCATCAAACATGCGGGTGCCTTATACGTGTTGCACGAAAAAATTTGAAGATTATTATTTAGCTCAAACTGGAAATGGATTACCTTACTATCAAGGAACCATTTTACAGAAAGGTTATGGTATTGGTGGATTTTTTGCAAAGCTGTTTCGCAGTGCTATGCCTTTTTTGATGAGTGGAGCCAAAACAGTTGGAAAAGAAGCTTTGCGGACTGGAACACAAATTGCAAACGACGTATTGTCGGGGAGAAAATTTTAAAGTCTCCCTCAAAACCAGATCTAAAGAAGCTGGCAAAAAATTAGCGAGGAAAGCAGTTCAGAAAGCAGACGAGATGATTGGTCACGGAAGGTTTAAAAGGAAGCGCAAAACCCCCAAACACTTCATTTCGTCTAAAGCCAGGAAGGTGCAACGACGTGATATTTTTGACTCGTAATGGCTTTTCTGTTAAAAGATTCTCCGGAATGCGCAAAATCCGAATTGGATTTATTTTCGTTACCTCCCACACAAACAGTTATCGAAAAAGGTCAGTGGGTTGAATTTCATCCATTAGCCAATGTATCGGAAGGAAGTCCTGTCGAGTTCAATGTTTCTGGAAGCGGAGACGACTACCTAGACTTATCACAGACATAACTCTACGTCAAAGTGAAAATTTTTAAAAAATGATGGCAAGCCAATCACGGCTGAAAGTAAAGTGGGACCTGTCAATCTCTTTTTACATTCTATGTTTTCTCAAGTGGATATTAGCTTAAATGAAAGACTCGTTTCCACCAGTAATAACACGTATCCTTACAGAGCCATGATAGAAAAATTATTGAATCATGGTTTTGATACGAAAACGTCTCAACTGTCATCAGAATTGTTTTTCAAAGATACAGCAGGACGTATGAACGTTTTTGATATTCAAGACACTCAGCCGAATGAAGGATTCAACCAACGAGCAGAATTGTTTAAACTGAGTGCTTCGGTCGATATGATTGGCCGATTGCACTTGGATATGTTTCATCAGGAAAGACTTTTGCTGAATATGGTGGATATGAAAATTAAACTCATACGCAGCAAACCTGAATTTTGTTTATTGGGCGAAGGTGAATTTAAAGTTTTACTCGAACAAGCTTCATTGTTTGTACGCAAAGTGAGAGTCAGTCCAGGTGTTGTGCTAGGACATGCCAAAAGCCTAGAAAAATCAACAGCCAAATATCCCATTAATAGAGTGCTCTGCAAAGCCTATTCCATTCCAACGGGAAATATGAGTTTTATTCAAGACAATATTTTCATAGGTCAAATGCCTAATCGTATTGTGGTGGCATGTGTCGATAATGATGCCTTTAACGGAAACTATAAAAAGTCTCCTTTTGAATTCAAGCATTATAATATGAACTTTATCGGCGTTTATGTGGACGGGCAACCGGTACCTCATAATCCTCTTCAGCCTAATTTTGACAAAAATCATTTCATACGAGCTTATCAGAATTTATTTATGAATGCAGACGACAGAGGACTTTACCTTTCAAGATCAGAATTTTCAAAAGGATATTCCTTATTTCGCTTCGACCTGTCACCTGACCTTTGTGATGGCTCTCATTTAAATCTAGTTCGACACAGCAACTTAAGATTAGAAATAAAATTTGGGACTCCCTTACAACAAACTGTTTCGTTATTAGTGTACGCTGAATTTGAAAATTTGATAGAAATCAATAAAGCTCGAAATATTCTGTACGATTTTGGAAACTGATGAATTCATCACAGATTCATCAAATCTTATCTCGAGATCCTATTTCTTTGAGATATTATGCGGGTGTTTTTCCTTGTGATAAAATACCTGCGATTCAAAGTTTTCCCTGTGCACTGGTGCTCAATACTGATAAACATGATGAAAAAGGAACTCATTGGCTAGCTGTCTACATTGCAGACAAACAGACTCTGGAATTTTTTGACTCTTATGGACTCCCGCCTGAAGTATATGGAAAAGATATCACATCCTTTGTCAAGAAATATCGTCATGTTTGCTGGAACAAGATTTCGCTTCAGAGTTTAACTTCTAATGTATGTGGACATTATTGTATTTATTTTATTATTAAACGCTGTCAAGGACTCTGTATGGAACTCATTGTATCACCCTTAGATGGGAAGAATCATGATTTCCAAATATTTCAATTTGTCAAAAAAAAGATATGGTGTGTAAACATGATTTTTAAAAAATAAAGTTGTTTTAATTTGTAAAAATGTCTCTTGTATTTCTTGTTTCTACACTTATTTAAACAAAATGAATAAATGTCTTATGCAAAAGATTTTCGGTAAAGTATAAAAGTCAGTGTTTTCTTAACATGCTGTCATTTCCAAAAATGGAACTGCCCAAGTTCGTACATCCTTCTACGTTTGAGCGGCTATCATTCACAACGAAAACAAAAATTAAGTACAAAAGAAATCATCTTACCTGCCCCAGAAACTGTTCAGGGCCAACTTGGCGACTTGTCGACGCCCAGGGTTTTCGATATTTTTTCGGCCTCCAACTTGACGCCCTCTATTTCTTCATACTGGCGAATGTACTTCGGTCTGGCTTCTTCCGTCACACACTCCGAAGGCCATCCGCTACTTTCCTGCTAGAAACAGTTCAATGTAGGAACGAAACAGAGAAGTAGACGATGCCTGGAAATGGTACACTTCGTAAATCTAGAAAATAAAAAATAAATGTCAGTTATAAAAAATTTTTAAAAGTAACCTCTGAAACTAAATAAAGATTAAAATAATCTTTGAGTACTTACATGTGTAATGCGGTAGCCTTTCTTTTTCGCCAGTTTGACTTCCTCCGTTACCCACGTTCCGACAAGCTCGCTCGTCGTCTGTGTGGGTACACGGACTCTGAAGTTGAAGAAGGGCGCAAGTCCGACACAGGAAGAACATCAGCTTCTTCCGGCACCGATAGGGCAGTACCGGAAGATACAGATTCCGTGGAGGAATCACTCGGCATTGGATAATTCCAAAATAATCTTCCACATCTCCAAAGCTTTCCGTGATGATTGTTGGATGTCCCACAGGGTAGACGCAATACTTGTTCACCTGTGAATGAAAACAAAAAAGTCAGAAAAAACACATCATGAAAATATACAGAAAATTTAGAAAAGTTTAAGTAAACATTTTTGAAATAATAAAAAAGTACGAACCCATGGATAGAGGTGAAGTAAAATCCACATATTTTGCGTCTCCCTCGTGGAACAATTTGAGGGCATTGGTCCTTCCTCCAAAAAACGACTCGCGAGGATTGAGTGGATCCCTCAGATGGTGCTGATCCAGGAAAGCTTGGAGATCTGGATTTTCCTCCTTCTCTCTTTGAAATTCATGCTTCCACATTTCGATGACGTGGAAACCCTGGGTGCGAAGCTTTCTTGTCGTCTCTTCTGTCTTTTCTCTTAACGTTGCCATGGAAACCCCTTTCAGTGGATGTATGATATCACCATCGTAGCACGAACTACATCCGTGAAAGAAACAGCCCTAAAATAATACAAATATATATTAATAGTCTTTAACATATAAATCACTAAAAAGAATCACATAGAAAAGGAATGGTTATATTTTCTTACCTGAAACTGATAGACGGTTTGTGTTTCTTGGCAGAATCCGTCTACCGAGATTCCGGCGACTCTGTGCTCTCCGGAACCGTTCAACGCATGTTGAATCTGTAGGCCTTCCGAAGCAGCAACAAAGTCCAACCATCGGATCGAATCAGGGCTGTAATTCGTTGAGTTGATGTAGCCGTGTGTAGGCACCATGGCAATCGTGTCGGGTTGAATGTGGCCACTCCGATACGTTGCCATACAGGCTGACGCGATGGTCACGTATCTGAAAAGACAAAAATAAGAACGATTTAATGAACTGTAAATATGATTATTATTGTATAAGAAAATCAGAAAATGACTTACTGGAATGGATCCACATTCGCCACATCCAAAAACTGGGCTCGAAACTCCAGGCAGCAACGGCGAAGAATGTCCACGTCCGATCTATTAAAAAAATGTTAAAAATACGGAATATAAAAAAAATAAAATAAAAATAAAACAAGAAGAAAAACATATACCTGCAATAGGCCAGCATCTCATCTTGAAAGTTAATCACGTCCCTCTTGTGTGCTTCATGCCAGGACAGAAATGCTTGTCGGGCTGAAGTGCTCATGTTATCCGGGCTGTAGTACCGGGGCTCAGGCAGCGGTCCGACATAATTTTGGTTTTCTCGCGAGTTGAAAAGATGGGGAAAGTATCCCTTTTTCAGCTCTGTGAGACTGAAGCATCCCGGCAGTTTGGCCAACGCCATCGGTAGAAAATTTAACAAGTCTATGAACCGAATGTTCAGACTAGGGTGTCTTACACTCATGATCATAGACCCGTTAGGGATCACCTCCGGCGCTGTGCCTTGCTCCAGGAGCCAGGCCATCACGAACTGACCGTCGAACCTGTAAGTAAAAAAAATTATGAATAATATTGAAAAAAATAGTCAGTACTTAAAAAAGCATGCAAACTATGGTATTTTTAACTTACCCTTTCATGTTATGAGCCACGGCGGTGAAGCCCTTGTGCTCTGTGGAGAACAGCCAGGCGCAGAAATCTTGGCATGCCGTGTATCCCGGAAACACTTTTTCTGTGCCGACGGCATACTGAGCCACGCGAAATTTACGAGGTGTTCCCCCGAAGACTGGTCCGTTTCAAAGAAAATGAACTTGTCCTCGGACTTCTTCCTAAGAACAAGGAAACGCTAATAACATGGAAAGGTCATATGGGACAGAATAATTCAGTTTTCCAGGCTGAAGCAATTGCGATTCGTAAAGCTATCGAGTTAACGCTTTAACTGCTTAAGACGTGTTTAAACGTTTTTGGAATTTCTTTAAAAATGCTTAAGACGTCTTTACACGAATTTCAAATCGCACGAAAAATGCTTAAGACGTGTATACACGGAGCCCGAATTTCGCGAAGATTGCTTAAGACGTGTTTAGACGACGCGATCTGGTCTTCCTTCCCCTACCTTTCTGCAGGCGGCTGTCAGTTGACACAAAGGTCTTAATAGGGTGTGAAGTCTCTTTGAAAAGAGCACTTTAGGAAAAAGTCCTTAGAGTGAAGTATCTTTGTCAGACAGCAGGTATGTATTATCTGTGTGCCGACTAATAGTTTGCGAAAGAAGATAAATCGTTTTACAACTGTTTGCCTTGTGGTACTTTAAACAAATGTCAACTTTATACAAAGTCAAACAGGATCCGACGTTGTTATAGTACATTGCCGAATTTTAGTAGAAAAAAGAAAAATTAACAATTGTAACGGAGGACGTCTTAATGCCTATATGTTATTCAAACAATATTTTATTTTTGTCTTGAAAAATGATTACAATTTCTGATTCGTCAGGAAAAATATAAAATGTTGCAACCAGCTT